GAGCCCAGCTAAAAGAAACAGAGGAGGAAGAAGAGCATGAACCAAACACATGATAGGCTGTCTGATTCAGGGTTGTCCCTGAAACTAGTTCTGGTAAACTACACTGAACAAAAATATAAACGCAACACCTTTGTTACTGCTCCCATTCCCCATGGGATGGACGTAGAGACCTAAAATTCAGTCCAGATACACAATATAACCATCCCTCCCAAACAGTGGTCACAAATCAGTCCAAATGTGTGGTAGTGGGCACATCTGCTATATTGAGATAATCCATCCCACCTCACAGGTGTGCCACATCAGGATGCTGATCTGACATCATGAGTAGTGCACAGGTGTACCTCAGACTGCCCACAACAAAAGGCCACCCTGGAATGTGCAGTTTTGTCTCACAGCAAAATGCCACAGATGCCACAAGCAATGAGGGAGCGTGCAATTGGCATGTTGACAGCAGGAATGTCAACCAGATCTGTCGCCCGTGCATTGAATGTTCATTTCTCAACCATAAGCCGTCTCCACAGGCGTTTCAGAGAATATGGCAGCACATCCAACCGGCCTCACAACCGGACAGACCTCGTGTAACCACACCAGCCCAGGACCTCCACATCCAGCAGGTTCACCTCCAAGATCGTCTGAGACCAGCCACCCAGACAGCTGCTGGAACAATTGGTTTGCACAACCAAACAATTTCTGCACAAACTGTCAGAAACCGTCTCAGGGACGCTCAACTGCATGCCCGTCGTCCTCATCGGGGTCTTGACCTGACTCCAGCTCGTCGCCGTAACAGACTTGTGTGGGCAAATGCTCACATTCGATGGCGTCTGGCACGTTGGAGAGGTGTGCGCTTCACGGATGAATCATGGTTCACATTGTTCAGGGCAGATGGCAGCTGAGAATGTCCCAGTTCTTGCATGGCCAGCATACTCACCGGACATGTCACCCATTGAGCATGTTCGGGATGTGCTTGACCGGCGTATACGACAGCGTGTACCAGTTCCCACGAATATCCAACAACCTCGCACAGCCATTGAAGTGGAGTGGACCAACATTCCACAGGCCACAATTGACAATCTGATAGACTCCATGCGACGATGTGTTGCACTGCATGAGGCAAATGGTGGTCACACCAGATACTGACCGGTTCTGGGTCCCCAGACCCCCAATAGCGCAAAAAACTGCCCATTCCAGGGTGGCCTTTTGTTGTGGGCAGTCTGAGGTACACCTGTGCACTACTCATGATGTCAGATCAGCATCCTGATGTGGCACACCTGTGAGGTGGGGTGGATTATCTCAATATAGCAGATGTGCCCACTACCACACATTTGGACTGATTTGTGACCACTGTTTGGGAGGGATGGTTATATTGTGTATCTGGAATGAATTTTAGGTCTCTACGTCCATCCCATGGGGAATGGGAGCAGTAACAAAGGTGTTGCGTTTATATTTTTGTTCAGTGTACGTTAAAACCAAAACAGAAGTGCCGCTGAATCCCAACTCAACCTAAATGAAGCTTTAAATGCAACAGAAATATAAAATAGGTATGCAGGTGCAGATCGGGAGAAATAGACCCTGACACCAGCTGTTAAACACCAAGCTCCGCCTTCTCTGATTTGTTCAGCAGTGAGAACAAATCAGAGAAGTGAGAAAGCAGGTTAAAGATGCTAACATAAAAACACACATAACATAACATAAATGATGACTGGACCCACACACTGAGGTCACGTATAACAGAGATAATATAACATTTGAACTCTGACAATTACATTTGATAGTTGATGCAGTTTCAGTTCATAGCAGCTCAGTTTCATCAAAATTAGAATAGTTCATGAAGACTGGTCAGCTGAAATCATCACTTGCCTCATGTTCGCCAGAATTCAGGGATCAGAATGGGTTTTATTCATAACTGCTTTCAATTAAAAGCTTTTTGTCTTAGAACTGACCAAGTATCATATAATGAAAACCAGAGCAAACAAACCATTTTAACCTTCAACGACTCGCCTCCTTTTTGTTTTTTGCTGTAAACCACTAGATCGCACCATCCACCAGCACTTACCCTACTTAGTAACTGACCCCAGCACCTGATCCAGCACAAAACACAGTTTTTAGTAAAGAGAAAATAAGTCATCCTAATCTTAAAAGCTGAGAAGATTTATATCTAAAACTATTGAATTGTTTCAGTTGTAATCCGGGATAATATTAGTCAATTATTTTATTTAGTCTATATTGATTCTGAGCTAAATCTGTGACTGCCCAGACCATCATTACAAATTAAGGTTTTTTTTTTAACAGTTTAAAAGGCCTGGTGTAATTATGAGAGAATTGGGGTCGAAACATCTACTATAGAGCAGCAAAATTGAAAGGAATGTGTGCGGGGGCACCTGTGCACCATTGCATCACGCCTCGCCAGCTTAAAATCTGTGTAGAGTCCTGTGTTTGGAGTTGTTTGTTGATGTGTATGGCTGGCAGAGGCAGAGCTGCAGCAGAGTGTGTATAGCAACCATGACCGAGATAATAAAGGATGCTAAAAAGCATGAAGGTACACCCGGGTCTGCCGTGGATTTCTTCCAGCATGTTTACATCTAAATGTTTCCTCTGATTTTTGTATACAAAATCTGTTCTGTGTAGACAGTTAGTACAAATAAAAGCTTTCAGTTTTAATGTTTGACTCCTCGTTCAGTTGATAAAATATTTTCTGACTTTCAGTAACTATTTTTGTAGATTTAAATGAAAGAGTTTGACAGAACTGCATGTGGGTAAAATTTCAACAAACACTCCTAAAGACAAAACAGATCAGCAGAGGGCAGCAAAACACCACAACCACTGGTGTTGGCCCTCTTCCTTGGCCTGGTTGAGAGGAACAAAAGGACTTCCGAACAGAAAATCTATTTTTATTCAAGATTGGTTATCAAAAGGTGTTTGGGCAATTGCCCATTTTGTAGATGAGGAAGGACATGTTTTAGGACATCAAGATTTTTGCCAAAAATTTAATGTCCAATGTTCTAAAAGTAAATTTAATTGGGTTATAAAATCCATTCCATTGTCACTTAAAAACATAGTTGTAAATGATATAATATATTCTCCCCCAAGTTAAGGCAATTATATATAGATGGTATTCGGTTTTGTGATGTTAAATGCAATAATAAGTTTCTAAGATCTTCATTAAGGAGTCTTTATTCCCCAAATTTACTTAGACGTAATTACATATTAAAAGATTTCCAAAGGGAAGAAATTGAAAGAATAAGAACTGATTATATCACCTTCCCTATCCCTCCTAAAGGGAAAGAAGTCCAATTTAAAATCTTGAATAAAATTTACCCGACAAATAGACTCCTTGGTGATAGATTCAAAATAGAAACTGGTAATTGTGTATTTTGTGAAACAGAAGAGGAGGATTTGGACCATCTATCATTTTTGTGCAATTTTAAACAAATTTTTTGGTTGGATTTTCATACCTGGCTTTATTCCAGTGGGATTCAAATTACCCCCATTTACCTTAAATATGGTAATGTTTGGAGTGTTTTTGAAAGAAAAGAAAGCTAATTATGGTGTCAATGTGTTATTAATCTTGTGCAAGCAATTTATACATAAATGTTGTTTTTTTTAAGACCAAACCAACACTAGCTTACTGGAAAAAACGACTTAAACCTGTTGGTTAAATCTTTGACTTTAATTAAAAAGAAAAAGGCTGCTCTTTTTGTTTCCTTTGTGGAAGATTTTGATTTAGTGAGTTAATAATCTGTTAAGTTATGTGACCCCATCTTTATAGTGTATTTTTCCTATATATGAAAGTTGCTAATATGTAAGGAATGTCTATTCTCTGAATGTGTAATATGTGGTGCATTTTGTTTGTATGTTAATTTTACTAATAAAAAAAAAAAAAAAAAAAAAAAAAGGACTTCCTGTTTCCTGTCCAGGTATTTGTCCTTTTTGTCCCCCTTCAGCTACTAACCACAGAAGATGCTCAAAGCATGCTATCGCCCACTAGTGGACAGGAGAATCATCTACCCATCATTTCTCCACCTAGCTACACAAGCAAATGTTGACTTACTGATATGCTTATGTTGAAACATGCACTTACATCACGCACCAGTACATCCACAAGAGGAAGGCTACAAACTACAAAAATGTAATTTCTTATACAAATAAAGCTTGTTTAAGCCTTAAAACCTTTGAGATAATTCTTTCTCTGGATAAATTTAGCAGTGGGAGTTTTTACAATAAGTACGTAGAATGAATGGATTAAATATGTACACTAAAACATTTTAAAATGTTTTTAAAAATGCATCGTCTCTGGAAATCACTCTGTCCAAAACGCCACTGTACAAAGAAAAAAACAAACATGTATTAAATGCAATTAAAAGTACAGTGGAACCACGACTTACGAATACCCCGTTTCACGAAAAATTCAAGTTACGAAGGCTCTGAACGGCAATATTTCTGCCCGTGTTACGGCAAAATGCCCGCGTAACGAAATCCACTGGATCTGATTGGCTGAGCCTACAATGCCCACAATGCCTTCCGAATCATGTGACAACCCCTTGGCTTCCGTACTTGCACTTCGCTGTTCCACTTGAACGACATATTGTTGTACTAGTTAGCAATTAGCCTATAGCCTATCGTTCAGCATCGCCTCACTCAAAACGCGCGATGGGTGCTTCGACTTACGAAAATGTTCGACTCACGAAAGACCCTCGGGAACGAATTAATTTCGTAAGTCGGGGTTCCACTGTATATTCAAGCATCAGCAATAGAAAAAAAAAATCCTCAAAACCAGAAAAATACACAGGAAATATCGACAAGAAAAAGGGAGACAGCGAGAGAGCGAGAGAGAAACACTTTCCATTACCGTTTTTTTCTCTTAGAGATGCAGTGGGAGAAATGTGTGTAGTTCATGCACACATTAACATCCTAATTCATCTGCTATCATTCATGTACTGCATTATGAATAAACACACTGCAGTATGACCATCATTAATAATATTCAAGAACCAAAAACTGAGGAAAAAAGAAAACATACACTTTAATGAACATCACAATAAAGTATTTTTTCTCCACAAAATTGAAATATGACTAACCAAAAATATATAAAAAAACAAATAAACAGTATTCCTACATACACAGTTTAGACAAAAGGAAAGCATACTACAAAGTGTTTTTGGATTAAAATACTTCTTACATCAATGGTCTAAACTACAAACATGTGACCTTGCATCCCTTTCATTAACTGGCAGATGGTGTCTACAGAGAAGCGACACTGAAATGTAAGAGTCTAAACAAAGAAAGATGATGAGATTTTCACAGAACATCAAAATGTAAACTGGCACACGAGTTTGTGACTGTACTGCTGGGTCAGCAGATGCACAAGAAAAAGGTCACATCTGTAAATGATGTTCAAGTAACTTCAGTCAACAGAAAGCGGAAGTGATGGCTCTTTTTCCATAACAACAGTGAAACAACACACGAACAAACCCTCACTCGTACGGGGCACTTTAAACAATAACAACAAAAAAAAGAAATATTCGTGTTCTAATAACATTTAACAGGTTCGATGGCAGCATTTAAAAAAACTGCACGCTGCAAAACATCAAGGCTCATTTGAGTGAAGCTGTTATTAAGATAGCCGAGTAAATGTGACAACATTTTGTGACTCAAATGGATCAATAAATAGAATAAAATGAGATAAAATGCTTTAAAATATTTTTCTTTTAAGTTCCATGCATGCTTTTTGTAGGCACAAGTCTTTCTCATATTTAACACGCGTCAATCAAGTTGATGTTTAGTTCACTGAACATAAAAGACTCCTTTGGTAAACCTCGCAGTGCATTTTGGCTCAGTCCTGTTTTTAACAAAGCTGGGACTTTATGTAAAACTGAATCATTACTGGAACATCGCTAAAAGATTTAGAGAGTGTTTTAGAACAGGAAACGGAACACTCGGGAAAAGACAGAGTCAGCAAATTAACAATTCAAACTTCTCAATGTAAAACTAGTCAATTAAATCATCAAAGAAAGTCATATTTGCAGGAAATCACAATAGTTGTCTAAAGGCACTGCATTTTCCATAATAGAATTTAAATAGTGAGATAAGCCGGAAAAATTGCTTTACACAAAAGCACAAAGGAAAAAAAAAAATCAATATCTGTTATCACTTAGCACAGTTCTGTAGAGGAAATCATAACATGGACTCAGTAACACTATCCAAGTTTAAAAGAGGGGAGACCACCAAGCTTGATATGAGCATGAAGTTACATGACACAGGTCACTGCCATATATCAGTGAAAGCAACATTAAGGCTAAACTAATATATATGTATTCCTGAAATGATAAATATTGCACTTTGTTCCCATGTAACGTGACTTACATGCGAGTACAGGGAAAAAGGCTCAAAGCACTTCCTGGGGCTGTACTGATGTCCACGATCCAGCCTAGTGTGGTGATGAAGCAAAACCTGGATTATATGCAGGCTGAGCAAGAAAGTCTGGAGTTGCAGGTGGAGCACTGGGCTTCGGCTGGGGGCACGGTGGCTGGGGGTATGCTGGCTGCCGGGGCATGAACGCAGCCTGGCCATAAGGCATCGGAGGATAGGCAGGACTGACTGGAAAGTGAAAAAAGAGCTTACATGAGACTGAACATGCAGACAGCACTAAAAAAGTAACCACAGCTGAAGTTCTGTAGCATAAGAAGAAATATTATATTAAAAAAAGTCTCTGGCAGTAATGGATGTGTTTATTTGTGTTTATTTACTGTGTATATTTTTTTCTGTATATATATATATTGTATATTTTGATGACGCAGATTCATCACCTTTACTTTAGCCAGTCGCAGTATTTTACACAACATGACTCACAGAAACAAGCTTCTGCCTCAGAGGCTAAATGAACTTCTGTAGAAATATTTTGTACATTGAAGCTCCTTCCCCCCCCCCCCCCCGAGTCAGGAGCTTCAAATTAATTAGGGCTGCCACGATTACGTTGACTATCAAAATCGTCGACGACTGATTTAATAGTCGACGTGTCGTTTGAAGCTCTGTAAGATCCCAAAAGACGCAGGAATAAGTAGTAGGGTTTAAGAGTGTAATAACGGACTGAAACAGAAGATGGCAGCACTGCATCTACAAGGATGCCAGCTGCCGTTAAACCCCGGAGAAGAAGAAGAAGAAGAAGAAGAAGCTGTGTCCCAGAATTCATAGCACGGCCCTGCTCAGTTTCCAACAATGGCGGCAGCTAGTTAGTTTTAATATTACTCTTATTATTCTTTCTGGGTCACAAAATAAACGTTTAGCATATTTTCAGGCGAGAATGTAGCTGTGTAAACCTCAAATATCGGCTCAGTTTATCAGGACACCACATATTTTCAAAAGCGCTCCGACGTTTTCGGAGACGTCTGTTACCCACTAGCTCGATAGCTAGCCGGGGTTACAGGCTCACTAGAGCCGTGAGAACACCGGACTCCCGGCAGATCGTTTTCAAACCCACTGCCATCTTTCGCTACTCAGGTTAAACATATACAAGTCACTTAGATAACTTCAAAATGTTATTGTTTGGCTTTTTTTTAGTATTTTATTTGTTCCTGAGTAAATCGGTTTGGCTGAGCTTAAAGTTTCTCAGCCAAAAAGTTTTTACACAGCTGAATAAACATTAAGAAGACAACTGATTATCAGAAGTGTGAGATGCTCGAGAATATACTCCGGTGTCCCGTTATATTTTAGATAGCAAGGAGTTTATTAAACTTCACCGAAACAATCTGCAAATTTCATTAAAATTTAATAAACTATCATCTTGTCTTTATTTTTAGTTAGCACAGACCTTAAACACTTAAAGCTGTAAGCTAATGATAGTTATATAAGAGCAGATCAGATGCTGCTGGTGCAATAAGCTGTGCGTCCAATGGATGATGATCTGATTAGTCGACTAATCGCAAAAATAATCTGTGACTAGTCGACTATCAAAATAATCGTTTGTGGCAGCCCTACTATTAATATTTCCACAGATGCGCAGTTTTGGGTTTCAAAGCCTACCTTTCACCTGGTTCTGCAAACAAATATATTCTCTTTAGTTAAATACGGGCCTCTTTTCCAGGAAGCATTTACAAAAAACTAAGTTTAAAAATAAACTGAGTTGATTCACTTTGAGATAACTCTGAGTTTCCTGTTTCAGAACAGCTGATCAGATTTAGTTCAATCAACCTTGAGTATATTCACCCAGAGTTAAGCATCTGCATTAGTAAAGAAAGAAAGCCATGATCAATGGAGTTGTGGCATCACGATTCACCATGGCAACAGGTAAATAAAGAGCATGAGAAATATGAAGACCACTCAGTGCTGAGCAGGATATTGATCGTCCCTCTTTCATCATCACTTTTAATGTCTGCTGGAAAGCTGGAATCCAAATGTTGCATTTGATTTTTAAATCAATCTTTTCTAATTATTCAGCTGTAACCTGACAGGGACAAAATGTAGGAACCAGGAACTGATGATAAAAATCTACAGAAACTCATTAGACACAGTTTACTGATGGATCTGTGATATTAGTTACCCAGACAGCAACAGACTCCACCTTCAGGTCAGTTTATTAAATGAAAACCTGCCTTCACAGCAGGTTATGACCATTTTGTTGTTTGAATAATTATTCTCTAAACATTTCTTTCTTTTTTCTTTTCCTTTTTTGTGTTTCTGCCATTACTGGATAGAAATGCATAATGAGATTCTCAGAAAAAATGTTCCCCAGTTTAATCTGTTATAATCTGATTTCAGTCTTCACTGATAGATAATGGCTCTTACAGCCATAGCACTATCACATTGAACTGAAAAAAGCAAGGCAGCTTTCTGAGTCTTTAATGAATGTAAAATCACATCAGTAGAGACAAACATGTTATAAGAAAAGTCTTAGCTTTTGCAAGGAAACTGGCTGACAGTCTGAAAACATTACTGGCCAAGTTATAGACTATATAGATTTTATTCTGAGCTGATCATAAAACAGTGATGTAATTGCTGTCATCACTTATTCATGGCTGTCAAAGCTCTCACGTTAATTACACAAAATACCAAAACATCCCATAGCGTTTTAGTTTCTGTAAAAATGTACACTTCCACGCTGTGAACGCTGACAGCGACTTTATGAATAAGAAAATGACTCAGTGTGTCACACAAGTGGTTCAGGTCCAGCAGGACGGGAGGAGTCAGAGAGAAGCTCAGGGTCTGTTCCCAGTAACTAACAGAAAACAGGAGTTTCTCTCAGCTCGCAGTTAACAAACTCAGACTTCTTAGCTAAACCTGCTTCCTGGAATAGAGCTCAAGGCAAATCATAAACCACACTCACTGGCTTCCTGATAAGATGGCGGTGGTCCAACTGTGAATGACTGTCCATGGTAGGGCAGTGTGAGGATGGGCTGAGCTGGGTAGCCAGGCTGGGGTAGATGGTGGGGCATTTCCTGGTAGGATTCAGGGGGCCCAGGTGCTGCCGTTGGATGCTGAGGAGTGTTGCTGACCATTGTGACCTGGGTAGTGGCCTCTATCACAGGTGTAAGCAAATAAGTAACAAAAAGTTAGAAATGGAGAAACATGCTACATATTATCCAAAACACCTTTAATGTGTATTGTCATTTATAGGTAATATTCTAATAAAGATTCAAAAATAAATTTTTAAGGAAGGAGAAGAGCAAATGGTGCACTTTGAGTTAAGATACATAATTTATCATCCTCTCCTTAAGGTCTGCATCAAGGAAACTAAACATGATGTCGTTTGCTTATTGAATATACACAGATTTACACTTTTGAAGTTTACAGAGACTCAAAGAAACTCTTTGAGAGATTTTTATCATCGTCAGAGTGTAAACTGATCTCTGCGTAAGTACAGTGAAAATGAAAAGGCACTGCTTAGAACAGGAAAAAAGAAAACTTGTGGAAAACAAGGTGTCTTTAAACAGTGGGTGTCATCACAACCACTTCCTGTAAATGACGTGGGGTTGTCATGGAAACAATGAGTCACACAGGGTGGAGCTCTGACATTCCTGGATTTGATCCCATCATGCAGCGGCTTAAGCCAAAGATGCCACATTGTGTTCCTCACTTTATTGTAGCCTCTCTGCCAGAAGGACTTCCCCTAACGGCAAAACATTTACGAGCTGACCAAACTGACAGGAAGTCGGAAATGTAAAAATGGTTGACTGTAAATACTGACAACAGTCAGCTAAAGTACCAGTTTGCAAAATAGAAATGTGTTTATTTGACACGACAAACTGTTGGTTGAACATAATTTAATCATGTCACGCATTTCCATGTAATTACATTACGTTATGTACAGTAACCCATTCTTTATCATGTCACATGAACACATTTACACAAAACTAACAAGTAGTAATGATTTAAAAACATAAACACTATATGTACATGTTAAATGAACACATGGGATCTAACCAGCACTAAGGGGGTTAAATTAAGATTAAGACATTGTCTATTTATAAAAGTCTAGAGACTCAGAGTTAAACATTCATGTGTGAGGACAATTATGCATTTATGAGTCAAACATTAGCGATGAATAAACTTTGGAGGCCACCGAACATGCTGATACGCTCTGAACCTGAGAAGTAGATGGACCTGTGATTGTAGGTTGCACATACATCTGAGCTGTTTTTCAGCTGTTTTTGACTAACATGTTTAAAACAACAGCCTATTAATGGGGCTGGTCACAACCAAGCAACAAGAAATCCTCACAGCAACCTAAGTGTTTACTGCTCAGAGGTAGATCTGCAGATTCTTTGCACCGATCACATTTCATGTACATCGTAAAAACAACACTAGAAACTACAGGCAAGCACAGGCAAGGCACAGCCTGCTTATTTAAATAAAAAAGAAATTTTGTCCCAAGTAGAAGGGACCAAAAAAAGCAAATTCAGCAATCATTTGATGGGCAGGGGTGGAGATTAGGAATGTAGAATTATTTGAATGACATTGAAAATGCATGCTTCTCCAACAGATCGCAAAGCAAATTGAGCACTCCAAAATCCCAGCGCTACACCTTACGCCTGTGCGCCAATCACAGCTGTTCACTGCATCGTAGCCCGGAGGAGTAACACTACATCAAAGACAGGCAACAGACGGTCAAAACAAAAATCAAATGTCTGGAGCAGCAGAAAGCGAGCTTGCTTCCAAAAGCAGGTCTGCTGTTTTGGATTTAGAACAATCATGTTAACCAAGAAGAAATCATCTGCGAAGAGTGCTGTAGATTTGTGTCAGGACCACAAAGCAGCACAGCGAACTTATTCAACCACCTGAAAACACACCTGCAAGGTGAAGTAAAAAAAATGCAATTGTTGCTAAGGTTAATCACCCAACATCAACTCAGATGTACATAAAAGCGAACCTGTACAGCTCTTCGTGGTATTGCTAGAGCTCACAAAGAAGCACAATCTCATTTGGCCAAGGTAAGTAATTAAGGCTTTAGGTAATATAGCACATTTAAAAACAGAAAGTTTGCCCATAATAGCCTATAATGAAAAAAGAAGAGGGCCAAGGATTAAGCCCTGGGGCACCTCACAAGAAAATGGGGCTGAGGTGGACTTTTTCAACATTAACACTGAAAGTTCTGCGACTCTAATATGAATGAAGCCAATTCAGTGCAGCACCTTTGATGCCAACCAGGTGTTCCACATGGGAGATAAGAATATTGTGGTCAACAGTATCAAACGCTGCAGTAAGATCTAAAAGCACGAGGATGACCGAAATTCCACAATCAGTAGCTAAAAAGAAAAACACGTAAAAGTGCTGTTTCAGTGGAGTGTAGCTGTTTAAAACCATCATACCGTTAGTATCTATATTCAGATGGATAAAAACTATTTTTTCCAATAACTTTGAGAAGAATGGAACTTTTGAAATGAGGGGTCAGCGCCAGGTTTTTGTTAATAAAGGGTTTACAATTGCATGTTTAAAACCATCAGGAACCACACTGGAAGTAATACTGCTATTTATAATAGCAAGGACTGAGTTCCAATAGAAGGGAAAACGTCTTTAAAGAGCCATGCAGGAATAAAACATCCATGGGAATAACCTTTCCAAAGTGCCAATGCGGGCACTATATGCAAAGCATCCAAGGGGAAAGAGATTAAGCTCTAAGATCGGTTGAGTACTTTGCTATGAGTTTCCATCACGCAGATGCCAAGAATGGAGTGAAAGAATTTATATTTTACTTTTAGGAAATGAATAAATATCTTATTTGTCTGCAATTAAGTTTTATTTAAGAAGAATATAGCACAATGGGGAAAGCAGGGCTGTGTTGATGTAATTTTGCATTAAGTTTTTGTACAATTTTCTTTAAACTGACGTAATTTTTTTGCTCAAAGAGAGGCACTGAATTTAAATGAATGATGAGTAACAGCTTTATTACGGCACACATATTTGCAAAGTAGCAGGATCACAGCATGACATGCACATGAAATCTGTGTTATGTGATGTCTCTAAATTTATTATGAATATTTTAAGGCCTAATTTAGTTTATATTGACTAATCGTGATAATAGTAATCCTAAGATTGGGCAAAATGATAAGGATTAGCATTTTGGCTATAATTGTGCAGCCTTAGGGGTTTTGCAATTTCATTACTGTCAAGAATTGACAAAGTGATGAAAACACAAGGCTTCCTTGCACAGTACATGGTATTCAAATTCCTACTGAAAATAACAACTGTAAAAAAACAAACAAAATTCCCGTTCATTATTAAAATCTATAAAATCTTAGTCTGCATTTTATCCAGCATTACATAATCCTTATTGCTATTAGCATTATTGCTACTATTATTGCTCCTCGTAAATATCGGCTGACTGGGGATAATAGAATCATTACAGCTAGAGCTGGGCGATATGAGATTTTTTCATATCACGATATGTTTTTTTCATTTCAGGCGATAACGATATCTATCACGATATAAGCCAAATAACTATATTTGTAAGATTTAAATGTGCCGTTGCTCACAAGTAAAATGTGAAATAATCAGCAGCTTGTTTTTATTTAAATATTTATTTCCCATAATAAGTTCAACAGGGTAGATGTACTTAAGGAACATGAGACTTTTTCAGATAAATACAGGCAAATATTGCAAACTACACAAAAGGCAGCCGCTAAAGCGTTTAAGTTTCAAAATAGAACAAATGAAACAGACTAAATTGTCAATTCCACTTAGAAACAAAATATTAATTCTAAATATAAATCTTAGTTTGTTTTACAGAAGAACAGACAAAACTGACTAACTTTTGTCAATATCAAATAAACTGAGAACTAAAAGGAAATTCTCAATCTCTCCTTGTTGTATAGCTTAGCTTTTCAAACAGTTGTAACAGTTACTTTAGTCTGACAAAAGCCGAATGATGAATTAGCGCTTCCAGTCAGAGACTGAGGCTACGTCCACACGTACACGGGTATTTTTGAAAATGGAGATTTTCCGTTTTAAAAAATAATCCCGTCCACACATAAAGGCAGAAATGAAGGAAAACGCTGCTATGAACATGCCAAAGCAGCAGGTGGCGCTAGATTCCTAACCGTGCAGAAATGTTGGCCAATCAGAAGTCTAGAAGCCTCGGTGGGAAAAAGTAAACAAAGCTGGGGCATAGAAGCAGAACCGAGTCGTATGTGTGGAGGGACAGTAACTGTGTGTATATGTAAGCATTTAAACACTGCAGAGAGAAGAATTAACAGTAACAGTATTGTAGAAATTCATTTCACCGAAACAATAACGTGGCGCACAGTGTGACACATGCACCAGTTTATTGTATTTCCAGACTTGCTTTCGGCACAATTTACAGTGCACGCTACTCTGTTTTTTGTCAGACTTGAAATAGCCGAAATACCTTCACACTACGGAGCTTCTATGGCTCTTCCGTTCGACAATCTCTCCGGCGTTGGAACCATCATCTGTTTTCTCTTCGGTCACGCTCGGTTGATTTTTCCAGTCGGCACACTCATTTCCTCCATTACGCGCTGGCTCCATTACCCGCTGGCTGCTTCCCAAACAAACACACGTGCGGCTTGGCACTTGTGCTGTACGTAACAAGTCACGCGACGTGATGCTGCGGCTGTGATTGGTTCGGCTCTGCGCTACTTAATTTGGATCGGCTGACCTTTTTTTTTTTTTTTTTTTTTTTTTTAAGAGGACAAGAGCGGCGAGGTCTATCGCGATAGCTTAATTTCTCTATCAAGTAAAAGTTATATCGCGATACATATCGTTATCGTTCTATCGCCCAGCTCTAATTACAGCTATGCTGTGTCTAACAGGTTTGAAATATTGACAATGATTCTCTGGCTACAGAGACAATACTCAGTAGGATCAGTTAACTGCTGGCTCTGATCTTTTCATGTCATTTGAGAAAAAAACAAAAAACAAAATAAAGATGCTAGAGTTCAAAGCCCCACACAGCTGTTTCTGAGCGCCTTAAAGTTGGTATTTGAAAAATTGATACGGCTGAGCTCAAGGAATTTAAAGCACTCAGAGTAAGCAGAAGCAAAAATCAAGTAAAGACATGACCCCAAAAATCACACCAGCATCAAACTTAGGCACAAACTCTAAACACCAATTATCGCTGATGACGTGTTGACTCATTGCCCTGTGGCATATACGCTCACCAAGAACACCAATGGAAGGCAAAAGAATAGAATAGAATAGAATTCAACTTTATTGTCATTGCACATGCACAGGTACAGGGCAACGAAATGCAGTTGCATCCATCCAGAAGTGCTTTAGTGATATAGATATATTACAATATATATTAGCAATAATATAGATATGTGAGTATATTACAGAAATGGGTCTATTATGGTATGTTATAATGTACACGGTATGAAGTATGTTGTGAATATTCTATAACTATAAGTATGTACAGGCTGTAGTGAGTAACCTAATTCTAATCAAACACCAATGAGGAGCTGAAAAGTTTACAAAGCCTCCAATACTGCAGTGATTCTGAAACATTAGGTCAGGGGAGGCTCTGTATCTCAGTTGTTTTGTTTCTTGTCAGACCAAACTGCTGAGGTAATAAAAGTCATGTGGTAGGTGAGCCAACAGTCTACAAACGAGGCCCTCATGGTCTCAGACAAATGCTCCAACTCACCAGTCAATCACTGCAATGTATGAGAAATCACCCAAATGTCAGACTCACACTAATACTGTAGGTCCTTGTTCACATGAAGTGTTCCAAATACTTCATTCATTTGACTGAGCCGGGCACTTTAGGTTTTTGCATATTGCATCACACAGGCAGGAGGTGAAATCCAGCATCACTAATCTTTTTCAGTGTTTGACATGTTTTGTCCTGCAAGGCTCCGACTTACTGTGAATATGGCTCTATTCAGAGGAACTCAGCCGTCTTTTCTAGTTGACTAACAGGTTTGTTCTAGAAGACGGATACGTTTCACAGGTTTCAGCAGCTGAGTTACTGAAGACTAGAATGAGAAGTTTTGCCGACAGGAAGCAGAGATTTGTTTAAATAATCATTGACTCGTCAACTAATCGAAGGAATTAAGATTAGTCGAGTATGAAAATAATCGTTAGTTGCAGCCCTACCAGTGAGTAAAGATAATCACATTATTGTCTTTGTGGACTTTTTCATCTCTGATAAAAGACATCGAGAAGAAAAAAAAAAAAGAAAGTCAACAGCTACTGATGAACGTTTAATTCGCATTTTCATAGGGTTTTATCTTTTAGCCACTATAGAAACAAATGAGGTGCCTTAAACTCCGTCATGCCACAGTGCCTGCTCTTAAGTTTAAGGCATCAATGCATGAAAATTGTGTTTTGAGAGCTTGACATATTCTGTAAATGCCAAAAGGCACAAAACAACAGCCTTCAGATCTATATCTAAAGCCTTGACTATACTTTGTGTCCGCTGAGGTTTGAGTAAAGTAAAATCCGTCATCAGAGAAAGCGTGTGAGAATCTGTTCATGTATCTGTAACTGCCAATATTTTTTGACTGCAATAACTTTACATTACAATGCACCAACTGTAGTAAATGTAAATGTGCCTTCCAGAAGTTTCACACGAATGACGAAAGTTGTCTTTGCTCACAACAGAGTACAGTCAAAAATGCATCACCCAAATTAAAGTACTAGTTCTAGTAATACTTACCACGTTTGTTGCACAGCTTGTACAGGCAGCAGCTGGGGCAGACGCAGCAGCAGAAGATGAGGAATACAAAGGGGATGATGCTCATGCCAACAATGAGAATGAGTAATGTTTTGTTGTTGAAAGCAGTTAACTGATCCTGAAAATTTTTTTCAGGATCTTTGCTGCTGAAAAAGAAGCAAAGTAGGGATTATGCCCAAAACAAAATAGGAAAAAAACAAAAATAAAACAAAGTATTACAGCTAGGCTACGGTCTGTTTACTGTCGATTTTCAAAACTTCCAACTATGCAACAACTCCTCATGCTATAGTTGTGTCTGCTACGTTTTTTGCAACACTGACTGAAAAACAGGTGTAGGTGTGTTATCTTCCAACAACCAGCACACAGCATGCAAAAGCCCTTTTTCTACCCAGATACCCTGTCAGTCCTCCAGCGAGTAAGCAAAGCAGCACACTGATGAATGTTATGTGAATGAAGGCCTTCGTTTCAGTCTAGTGCACTTTGGCTTTATGCTGATGGCCGTGCGCAGGAAGACATTGTGTCCTGTTTTTTAACAGCTTAAATGTGGCCTTAAACACATTTATACTGGGAGAAAAGAGAGACTTAAAAAGAAATCACTTTCTAAAATAGGAAATTGTTCATTTTACACAAACTAGCTAAATGCAGGTTTTTTGTGGATTGCAGATTGAAAATGAAAACATACCACTCTTCTTCATCAAAGCGTTTTGACGGATCTAAACAACAATATCTGCTGTTGCAGTCCCCACAGCAAAAGCCTCTATGGCATTCCTTGGCTTCCTTACCACTGTAAGCCAGGCAGTCGTCCCCTGCTGTAACAGAGCAGACCGAGAAAATCGGAGAGGGGCAGCAAAAGTTAGCTCATTTCAGGTCAATCAATTAGTTATTAAAATTAACTTTTCAGCACTGCAACATTTTGACTTTTAGGGAATTGGTGATTCACTGTCACTGTAGCTCTTGAAAGTGTACTACGCTGTACAGAGGTGATGTTTTCACACACTTATCTATGCTCAGCCCTGAGTTTGAAACCCTGCTGCTTCCACTTGGTGGTCACTCTGAAGGATGTAGTTTGTACTGCTGCTAAATGATCGTTCACGCGTTTCTTGTTAATTAGCGGGCAGCTCGAGTGACCAGAATATAGTGGATAAAAACTATAACCTAAAACATGTGAAAATAGCCACTGACACTGACTGATTGTATATTATTTTTAAATGACTTTCATTTCTTTTTTTATGGGTCTGTAACAAACTAATCCTACAGTGTTATTAAAAGGTTTAAAACACAAGCTGTAACTTAAAAAAAAACAAAAGAAAACATGTCTTGATGAGTTTTATGGCCTTTCATAAAAATGAAAAGTTTTCGGATAATTAGACGCTACGTCACTGACTTCGCCCTAAACGTGGTCTGAAGTAACATCACAGACTGCTTGATGGTCAGCGGCTACAAGAAAACACAGCGGCCGTTTAAGGATGAACATAATTAAACTTACCGGATACACAAGGGGACAGGATCACAAACAGAGCCAACACGGCAGCAGAACACAGGCCTGACGCCATGTCCGTGTGTAAAACTTTCCCGGATTCACTCACGGACCCGGGAATCTTCCCCGACAGTTACTCTGCTCCGCACGGACTGCTGCACAGATCGTCTATACACGAAGCCGCCTCACTCAGGTCGTGTTCCAGCCCACTGACACACTTATTCCACGGACTGTGCAGAATCACGGGTCTGTAAACACATCATTACACACGGTTACGAGCTGCGAACAAAAAGTCTTTTAAGAAATTGTTAACAGAAATGTTTAAAGAGACGAGGCTGCAGACACGAGCGGAAGTTATTCTTCCCTCTTGTCGTCTTTTTCCGGTGAGTTATTGAGCAGATGAAAAAAATACTTTTTCCCTCTTTTTTTACAATTTATACTAATGTAAAAATTATTGCGTATTTTATTTATTCGGGTATCCGAATAGTAATATTACCCAGTGCTAACTAGCTTGAATACCAGTGAATTATTTTACACTATCTTATTACTATGCATTTTAAAAAGTAGTTTACAGACTTGTAATTCGCAATATTTCAGAAATATTGTACATTTAACTCTTTGCTGTTTCTGACAAACCACCACAGTGAAATGCATTTTTACCTAACAGTTAAATCATAAGACATTACATTTTGGACAAGCTGTTTTTAAAATTTAATATTTTGCCTGTAGTCGTATTTTTATAGTACAGTGTAAATGTTTTGAGCCACTTGTCATTTCATTATGTTGGGGAAATGGGTGTAGTGATGTTTTTGGAAAAAGTGCTTACACATGTGCAAGTATACAGTATATAAGGCAAAAATAATGTCTGTATAATTCTAATTATTCTTCAGTACAGCCTAAAATAAGGCAGCTTTCATGTAAAGCTCTGCAGGCTTTTTGAAGGACATTCAAAGCTTTTATTTGCATGTTGGTGCTTTTTGTTCTGTTCTCAGTCAAGATGGTCCCATACTGCTCCCACACTGCTAACCAGGAATGCTTTTACTGCCTTGACAGTGTACCTGCCATCATTGTCATACTACATAATGAAAATACTGCCAATGAGACACCTGAATATTGTGTTTTGTCTCAAAATGTGTTTTTTCTGCACTTGTTATTCCGTCAGTTTGACACGATCCCCTGCACCACCTGCTGAAATGCAGCCCAAAGCATGAAAGAGCCTCCACCATGTTTTACAGATGTGTTTTACATTCACTGTTGTACCTCTCTCCTGACATCCTGCATACATACTGACAATTTTAAATTTGGATTCAGCACTCCACAAAACCTGTTGCCACTGACTTTCTGTCCGGTTTTATGTGTGATGAACATAACTCGGACTCTTTGCCCACATTTCCCTTCCTTAAAAATGGCTTCTTGACAGCCACCTTTCCACTGAGACCATATTTAATGAGGCAATAGCTTAGTCTCTAATGGTGTTGTGCTTTCATTGAGACAGAATATTAACCAAACAAATCCAGAAAAAAGTATGCATCACATAAAACTTAAAAATGAATCTGCAAGTCACTGAGTGAAATAAATAAGATCCCCAAGCAAAACATGACTTAGTGCTTTGTGGAGAAACGCCTGTGTGCAGTACAGGGGTTGGACATTTCTTACAGTTGGCAGGCTAAGTGCAGATGGAACAGAGGAACACTTTAAACGGCTCAAATAACTCAGTATGAGTCACAATGTCTCAAATGTAGCCATGGCTACATCCATTTGCAGTGAATAATGTATAGATCAACGGTTTCACATGGCTGTTTACAAGTCATGTTTAGACAACGATGTTGATGTTTGTTATATTCGATGGCTGGTATTCAAGGCCGTGGCGACGAGCAATGGCTTCCTTTCTCCAACTGTTGCACATGGTCACATGTAGAATGAGAAGCAGCAGCTATTGCCACCATTCTTAGCCAGTAGGTGGATGAGTGACTGTTTTGTCTTTTGTGTTTTTGTTTAAATGGTTTACTAGGCTTTTATTATGCAGTAGCTGTTACTGCATAACTGCATGTCATGTCAACAACATAAACTACTTGTAGATGTTACTGATTATTGCTTTTGTAGCCAACTGTAGAGTCCACCTATCATTTATCAATCTTCCTTAACTATCTTGGTTGTCTTTAATAGCTTGTCGTTTAACTTCTATGTAACAGACTCTTGTTGACTCTACGACGGGACTATTCTAACTACTTTGAGGCTCAAGACCTCTCTCTTGCTCCTATTGAAAAAGGTGGGTCACTTTGGCCAATGTTACCTTAGCAATGGAGTCCAACGTCACCAAATGCCTGCCTCCCGGCACAACACAGACTCCAAGACAAACTCCATATAAAGACAAGAAAACAAACACCGATGTGGCTTCGGACAGAGACAATACTGTGACGCAAGCAAGCCTCGAGGCGTGGCACACGTTTTACATAGAGAGGCTTTCTTTGTGTTAGCTGCTTCAAGAAAACATAAAACCCTGAGTAGAAATAACAGGTGCTGGATGAAAAGGAGGTGTTTGACACCTTTCACTCTTTACAAAATGGAATAACTGAATGTGTTCTACTTCAGTCATATCAAATGAACATGTAGTTAGAAATTTGTAAAGAACATAAAAAACTAGATAAACAAATGAATGAAAACACTGGTGGCTCCAAACAAAACAAGAGAGAAATCCTGTAGACTCTTAATTTTCTGAATGTATATATAAATAAATGTTTTGGGGTTTTTTTATTTCAGCCGCTCGTTTAACTCTCTGAACATTTCAACTTTAACATTACTCGCTGTATTCAGGCCACTGATTGGTGCTTTACAATAGTTTCATGAAGGAAATCTCTTTAGTTTGTTGCCAGATCAAAGTGAAATTATTTGACTGAATATTTGTGTTGATAAAAAGACACAGTACTGATAAATCGTTCTGTTTACTGTAATTCCAGTTATGTAAATCAGTCCTGGCAGTATGCAAATTCCTGTAACTATGCAACACATTTTGTACTGATGTAACTTAACCACATGAGTTAGTTTTATGGTTTCAGTCAGGTGTGACTCAAAAGTATAAGCATTAACCGTTTTTTCATTTAGTATCATGCTTAGAGCTGCTGTGAAAATGTGATTTCAACCTAAACTCTGAGCAAAACTTGCTCTGGATCAGGTTATGTGTTCAGTGCAGACTGAACAGCACTTTAAGTTCACAAAGCCCCTCAACGTTTAAAAGAAAAATATTTATTTGTATTAGAGTTATGTTGGATGATAAAATAAATCAATGTAACAACAAAAAATAAACTGAAAGTTTAATTTCCACGAGATAACCTAAATGCATTGTGTCATGTGTAGCTTTAGCTTTGAGCAGCAAAATAGTTAATAGTGAAGATTTTAAAGTTCCAGTGCAGTGAGACTTAATTGTTGTGTAACTTAATTGTTACACCTTGTAAAGCAGCAACGCTGATCATTTCGGGGGCGATTCTAGGATCAGAGCTTTAGGGGTGCTGAGCACCCAGAGAGCTGCCCAGCCAGCTAAGATACACTTTACTCATCCTGCATCCTCCCTGTCCTCATCGTCTGTTGTCTTCGTCTCCGTTATCAGTCATCATAATTTTACCATCTCTGTGCAAGTCTGCAAATTTCTTTATTAAATCATAAGATTCTTAAATTCATCAATCTCTATGTGCCTGGGTCCTCATCACAAAACATGACATCACTGTTTTGTACATTTTAACAATTTAATCCCCACATTTGTGAAAGAAAAGCAAAACACTTTTTTGAAAAGTCTGTAACAAAACCATCAAATCTGATAAAGGTTATTTAAATGCTGCTAAAGAAGAATGGATTCTGAATGGAATGGAAAAACATTTCCTAACCTTAATTACTGGGGAAGAATAATGAACGATGCTCATAGTGAGTAAAAAGTAAACTGAGTTCATTTTTTGGACAGAGATTCACTTTTAATGTGTATGTATAATATAATACAGACACATAAAAAACACTCCCAAAAAAGAATAAATTATTACAAATAAATTATTACAACATATTAATAAAAACTATAAAAATGGAGGCACCTTTGCCTGTGGTAGCATGTATACAATGTATGAAAAAATCTTTACTGCAGATACTAATTTTGTGTTGTAAGATTTATGAGTTTCATGCTTTCATAGTGGTACTTAGGAGAGCTTGACATTGTTATCAGGTGGTACACACTGTAAAAGGTTTGAGAAACACTGATAAGTGTATGTGTGCTTTTGGAAAACATTTAAAGCTGCAGTACAGAATCTTTGAAACAAGCTTAAAACATTTTTAGAATATAAACAGAGCATCTGCTTCTCTTTACAGCTCCTCACTCCACCAGGGCTGTTTGGCTCTTTCTGTGTGCAAATATGATGTACGTACTGCAGCAGTCATACAGACAACTGGATGGTCCAAAAGTTGGCCTACCTATTACTGGCTGAGGTTTTAGAAGAGTTGTGGCTGAATCACATAAAAATATAACATTAATTTTAATCTCCCCAATCAATGATAATGTTATGTTGGAATGTTGTTAAAGAGGATAAAAATGTTTCAACCCAGTTTGTTTAGCAGATTCTGTACAGCAGCTTTAATATAGGGAGAACACAACTTCCAGATTGTGTGAGTAAAATCAGGTTTTTTCTCTTTGTCAGTTTAACAGTTTCCTATTGTGCCTGTCACTGCTCCCTGTCTGTTTTCTTACCTGGTTCTTCCTGACCTTGTACTTTCTCCTCACGTTCCCTCTTTCCTCTCTCCCTCTTTGGACTGACAATCATACACAAATAGATTGTATTCAATTAGATGAAAAATTAAATTAATATAAAAAAAATACTATTAAGATCACTAACAAAAAGTCCTCTCTCAGTGTACTTTCAACCAAAAGGCAAATAACCAAACCACACGAACATCTAATGAAAGATAAATATTGAAACACTGATCCAACATTATTCTTGATTGACGGATCATTTGATTTTACACTTTTACCTGAATGTGGCTCCTTTTTTCTGAAAAAACTTCCTCATATCCATTATGAACCTGGCTGTCTCTGTACACACACACACAACAGGAGTTATAAGGTTAATGGGCATTCAGTCAGTCAGCTAGTTAGTATCCATTTCAAACAGGGTGGTAACAACAGTAGGCTACGGACAATTTTATGTTTTAGATTTTAAATAAGCTATATAAATTTCAATAGGAGCAACAGAAAGGTCAAATGTTGCTGATTTTACTACAGAGCAGGACAGATTGTAGGGTAGCAACATCGTTGGAAAACACGTTTTCAACACTGCAGGTTACCT